GGCATTAGTGGCTTATGATAAGTCAAGAGCTTGAGGTGCCTACCATAGAGCATCTTGTGGAACCGCTTCATGACGAAAACGATTGTGAGTACTTCCTTTTCGATCGAACTATGGTGATTCTTAGTCGACGTTAGGGCTCATGTATCTACCCGAATATGCCGATATAGGCGTGTCTGGCGTCGTCGTAAATAGAATTTTATTTATAAGGTCACCTGGAAAGCGTTGATATTCACTCTTATACAAACCTGTGGCTTGTAGTATGCGTCAGTAAGGGAGGTGAAATGGGGCTCTAACAATTTTCGTCACCATACGAGTGGGGCTTCCTACGCATTAGCGTCGTGTTTGCGCCAGTGTCGCTGGGCCTGAATCGCGTACATTACGTGGGCCTTCACAGAGATGTTCAAGCTTTGTGTAAAGCGTGAAAACTCGAAGTTCCCGAACGTTATTCGCAGGGGGCCAACGTATGAATTGACACCTTTTCGATGACATTTCGGCCTGTTTCGGTCAGCCAAATTGGTCATGCACGAGTATTTTGAGGTTGTCTTCCTGCGTCTCATTTTCAGCAGCTGCTGTTCCAATGGATATTCATCAGTACATGGATGTCGCACGCTCAGAACATTGCATTTCTTCAATGGTTCAGGAGGGTTTTGGCTGCTCAAGACAGTTTAGGAAGCGTCAAGGATCGTCAACCAACCGGTTGACCTTTTGTGCAGATCATTTGGTTGGTGTGTCACCTCAGTACTTTCACAAACGCTCAACGTCTACTTGCGACCCCATGTGGAATATGTCATCTGGGCTTTGCATGCCTGTCAGAAGCATGATCTAGCTGGTCCGGACATACGATAACTGAGAGCATCTAGGAGTGTTAGGTGCTCTTCCCCCTGCTACATAAACCCAGTTTAAGTTTGCACGGAATGCATAGCGGCCTGCATTGACACGACCCATAATGGCTCACAAATTCCTGAAGAACCCCAACCATATTTGTCGCCTACTCATGGAACAGTCACAGCACCAAACTGAGAGGCCAACACATAAAGTTGTCAACAATGTAACCATCTAGCGTACTACCTGAACTTTTCTAGTATGCCAGCCATTAGCGTCCTACCCACGCAAGTTACTTCAGCCTCCAACTACATGATAATTGCGAAATGCTTTGACGGCTCACTGGGCCATTTACATTCCCCTATATGAAATTCTGTTTTTCAAGAGACTACAGATAGCAAGCAAGCCTGTGTGCTGAACTTATAGCTAGGTGTACATATTGTTATCATGAAGTCCTCTACTTGAGTTCACCAGCACGAACTCAGTCACTGATCCGCATTTCATTGCTTTTGTTATTTACATCTCAACGATTTTATGGGACCTGTCAAGTGTTTGCTTTTTTACCGTTATGTACCATTATTCCAAGTCGGCAAAGTTAACACAATGGTTTGACTTATGGTAATATGAATAAACATATATACGCCACAGTAACAGTAGATGGCCCACAGTTGTTGAGAGTGCAAAAACCTAGAATTAATATTTGTGATAAAACGGAAGATTTCGCACGATTTCGTCACAGCTTTTTGCTCAGAGTTCCCCAAATACCATACACTGTGTTTTTACCATAATACTCTTGATGAACTTGCATGCGCCTTAACGGACACAATTACAATTGGCCAAACGTTTTCCGAATTAGTAAAAGGGACCTACTTGCTTCGGGCTCGCCATTTTTGAGATATTCGGGCATTCGGAATTGTAAACTGTGCACTGGTGGGAACGAATGCCTTGCTTTGTCTCGCTACCCTTTTGAGTCACTTTTGCCTGGTTTATATTGTGTAGTTATTTTCACCTTCCTATTCGTCTTTTTACGGCCCAAGCGAATGAATTTTGATGTGTTATCTACGTGTTTATTGACAGTCATTGTGTTGGATCCCGAACTGTTTTACATTGCAATCTGCGTGGTCAGGATTGAGGAGGGCAGTGCGCCAGTAGTTGACCAGCTAGTTTGTCACTAACTAACTGTAGACGTACAGCCGAGTTAAGCACCGCATCCTTTGCCCAATGTATAATAGTTTGTCCCTCTGATTAATGCTGAATGTTGTTACCAAGTAAAATCGGGCAATCAGTATTAATGTGGCGCATCACGTTTGTTGCAGCAGTGTGGAGTTCTATATCCGAGGAACCGTGTATGGTTAGTAAGCTGCCACAGAGACGTGCAATACTTGTATGTGGTGGATATTTCAAAACCTTTTGGGCCGGTCAACGCACGACAGACACAGCCATATCAAGCCCTAGCACCTCTCCATTGAACAATACAGAGTGGAGCTCAAGAACTTCTGGATAGCTGTTTTAACCACATTTCTCAATAAAGAGGTCAGGAGAACTCTTCCATATAAGGAGTTTGGGATAAGATGCTTCTCATGGGTTGTAATTCGTCTGTCTTGTGGACCGTTACCGATTCCTACTTGATTGTGTTCGGAGTCTTTGACAAAATGCTTAGATTGGTTGCTTCAAACACTTTGCTAACCGGGTCTGCGTGATCTGAGAATATTCCAGCTCATATACAACAGTTTCTATGCAACCAGACTAGTTATGCTGCACCGGGCGTCACACCGTCTCAGCAGTGCTCAGATAGCTGTGAATTCTTAATTACCAGGAAAGTGCTACTATTGGTAATATATCCCAACGATTTCCACCAGTCTCAGTAGTGTCATTCGTTGCATACATCTCACATTTTTGTCTTTCTTTGTGGCGCTCAGCTCTTAGGTAGACAGCTTAGCAGGTGGTACTCGTAGCTTGATGAAATATCTAGGAGCAACACGCGATGTATTTCCGAAGCTGGAATCCACGGCTCTCAACTCACCTTCCTTAAGTGTTAACGAGCAGTGAGGAAAGAGTGTTCCTTGACAGATGAATGAAGCACTCTTACGCTGGACGACTTCGCCAGAATACCTTATGTACTATACTGCAACCCTCTTCTGTTCTGAAACAGCCAACCTTCTGCGGAATGGAATTGCTGCGGTCATGCTTGAAGCGAAATCCCTTACGTGTAATGTTGTCAACTATCATTTAACTGGGTGTCTGATAGACGAACGGCCGACGAACGTAGTAACTGTTAGTGCAGTAGTTTTACTGAAGAAGTGCAGAATGCGACTAGGTTGACCAAAATCTTTACTCTAACCGAAGACTTATAGACGAGACGGACGATTGGTGGCGTCACAAGCATAAGCCATTGTATGGAAGAGAGCTGGGTGATAACTGTCACCAGCTGTTCCCGCCAAACATGCACCATGATTTGCTGGAGTTTATCTAGCAGTATAGCAGTCAAGGACAGTCCTGCTGCTTTCATAAACAATAGAAAATGTTGGAAGTGTTTAATAGAAGCCCTTTTGAGAAAAATTCCCTTGTCCTCTCAAGTCCTACTTCCTTCGTGCTGCGACCACACAGACTGGATCATCGCCTTAGCTAAATCGAACGTTCAAAACATGCGAACATCCGTTAACCGGTTTCGTAACGCTGGTCAACATTTCGCTGTGCTCTTGCTGCTCGTAGATGATACCGAGGTAAGTCTCAGCAGCCTGGATGAAGCTATTACAGTGGTGATATGCTTGAACTGCAGTTGTCAATTGTTTTGATAATTACAGGATCGTTGAGTCGACCCCAGTAGTGATGGAGCCATTGGATTACATACTCATACAGCACCTGCCTAAGAATCGGAAATCCCGGATAAGACAAGCGCAAATAGGGTATCGGCAAGAATGGGGGATTACAAAGCATCGTTTGCTTTGGCGATAGGTGGTAGCGGAGCGTGGCGAGTAAATCAGACTGATAGTAGATGTGTTCCTTGTTCCTATTGGCACATTTAACTCGTCTTATCACTCCATCTTATTTGACACAATCTTGTAAAAGATGTCTTCATGTGACACATGAAAAATTTGCGTTCTCTGTGTCCGATAGCCATAAATTACTTCAAAGCTCAAGACGAACTTTAGCACACTTACTGAACAACGATCAGCAGCCAGAGCAAACATGTGCTACCTGCCTTGTCAAGTTTTACGGCGAAAACTATAACCTTGGTAAATGCGATATTTTTATTTGATTAGACGAACTAACTTATCTTTCGAAAAGCATGAAGAGATGTCAGCCGCATATGACAGGTCCCATGAAGTAGTTCCATTCTTTGGAACACACTTCGCAGCTTCGCAGTACAAAGGGCTGTAGCGGTAACACTGGCCATAAGGTGACCTTTAAGATCTTCGGTAACAAGAAACTTGATAACTTCACAATTCTTCGCAGCTACATTAAGAGCGATGGATGTATGACCACTGAAAGTGACTAACCTATTGCCGGAGTTAGAACTGTAGTCATGAATCCATGACACCTTAGGTTACAATTTGAACCTTGTGCTTACGGGTAGTGTATCCACTGTCATAGTGAGAACCGTTCTACTTTGCGGCAGTGAGACGGCCATTACGGTTTCATTGTTTTAAGCAAATTTTGATCTGGTACTATTACTAATTACCTGATGCTACGTGCTGGGGTAGTGTGTTCGGTAAAACGTCTTTGATTAAAAGACTGTATGCGTGCATTGTGTGCTGAAACACGACGTGAACCAAGAATGTTATACCACGCTTGCTAAACTGGTCACGGAATATACGGCCAGCAGTACACTCTCAGTGACTATTAAGTCTGTACTTCATATACTCTGCACATGCACGTCGCTTACTGTGAAGTCTGGCGACGACTGTGTGCTCATTTGACGCAGTTGTCAGCACGGCCTCAAAATGCATCACATGATACACTTGATAACCTAATCAAGGCAGTCCTCAGTTCATCTAGGTATGTGAAATACCAGTGGATGTTGCGTAGATTCTCTGACAGTTATCCCCATCCTGGTGAATTCCTGAACTTAACTCCATCGATTATTTTCCGGTCATCAGTTGCAGTAGTACCAACGCTCTTTCGTACTTGAGTTAAAGAGGATAAACAAAAACTGCATATCAAAGCTTGACACTTACCAGTGAACTGTTCCGCAGGAGAAGAATTCTTCTGTTTATATGTTTTTATTTCCGGTGCTGGAGTGTATGGAATAAAAAGTTTATGAATAAGAATAGATAGGCATATATGTAAAGACAGCCAGCATGAGCCATAGGACAGTCAAAAATATTTATACGATTAAGCGCCGAGGATGAAACTGTGTTGTATTGCCGGTGATAGACTACGGATCACATGCGTTGATCCATAGGGAGCACGCGTTGGATCAGCGTGTGGTCCACATAGCCGTCGACAGTCTGGCAGAGGTAGTTGGTAGAGGTCTGCTAGCGTACGTGGAGCCAATTAGGATGGATGATTCTCACGGTGAATACTGAAGCCCAAAAAACGGCGTGTCAGCAAAGTCAAACTCCTATGTGTCAGGTTTCGGCTTTGGAACACACCAATTTTTCGCAATCTCGAGCTGCTAACCACTGCATTCCTGAGAAAAAAGCGGGAGATCTTCGAGTTCTAAGCAGAGTGCTCGAGTAAAGCATGCACCATATAGATGAGCTCTCAGGTTTTTCTCCCGCTGCTTCGTATTTTATTCCTATGAGTGCGACAGAAGTCACCACCATTTTCCATAAAGATAAATTAAGTGTCGCTCGGTACTCTATTGACCCAGAAACACTTATCGACTAATGAGCTAGGTTCAAGCACAAGCTGTTGTTAACTTAGTAGGTGAGATTTCAGCCCCGCGAGGAAGACATACAAAGGTTGGCAAACGATGCTGTTGATCCCTGAAGTGGAAGTGTTTCTGATGTTTTTGATCAATTGTCCATGTTGATGAAATCCAAAAGCCTGCTTTTTGTTATCGCACCCTCGATGAAACTAGTGCGATTGTTATCGAAAGAGTAGAGTGGAATAAAGAAAATTAGCATCGTTAGTATGCTGTATTGCAACCATTTACTTCCCTAGGACACGGACACCAATCACTATGGAGACCGTGGTATAATCCCAACGAACTCTGCTGAGCTTAAGTGTTGTGTGTCACCCACGAGCAATGACACATTCCAAAGTCAGTACCGTAGGCATCTGCACTAGTCACTTAGCGTTAGCAACGTTTCCACTCGAACCGGGATCGTGAGGACGCACGTCGAGGCCTTCAATCCGAAACCACAAAGTCGTGAGCAAGCGCCTTTTTCGCACCCAGTTAGTATTCAAGGTGATATGCGTTACACGCAAGCAAGTTGCTTAAAGACAAAGGCTTCGATTGGAAGCGTTATCAAGATACCTTTGAAGATAAATGTACTATACAAACATTTTACGCCTCCGTAAAACAGTGTTTGAGTACCGGCTCCACTACAGATCCCGAAAACTTGGATAGCCTACTAGTGATCTACAGGAATACATGCCTAACCCAATCTAATGAATAACCATCTCAAACATGATTTAAGTAGCTACCATGCATACCTCCCTTACCAATGTTTACTCACTGCATACCGATAAACACATCATTAGTAACCTCTCCATATTTTTGATCAGTGAAAACGGACATAACCACGGCAGTCTTCTCCGCTTACAAATCGTTCAACCTGTTCATCGTACTAGTTTTCGAAGACGTCCCTTCCCCCGAGACTCATCCAAATACTGTGGAGAAATATTCCAATACGTCTGGTAGCTTGGCATCGTTATTGCGTACATTTACATGATGAAACCATCTAGCTCAAGCCGCTCCCGACTGCAATACTGGCAGACTACACTGCGTGCTGGGTGTATGCAAGCAAATAACTGACAAAAGTTGCTACCTTAAAAGATCTTAGCGAAGGATCAATCAACGTGTGATTGACACTACTTCTCAAGGGTCTGCCTGACCATGTTAAATGAGGCGTTCTCCATGCGTTCTTTTCTCCAATCATCTGAATCATCAACAAATTTACGAAACCCATCGGACAATTTGTCACCCTCCTACACCGGCAGAGACGGCAAGCGCACTTATCAACATGGGTCGAATGTGCAGACTGGTGGAACGAATACGTATCAAACGTTGAACAACCTACCCGTGATCATAGCAATACAGTATAACTAATGGACAGCGGCAAGGCTCCCATACTAACACAAATTCGAACTGCATGCATATACACGACAATTATGAATACCTCAGTTAGAAAAATTTCTAGCTGCGGTGTTAAGTTGCAGATGCCTTTATCACCCAGTAAATAATGGTCAGCCCACGCATTTACTTGTGTCTGTCGCTGGCTGTAAGTTGAATGCGCTATGGTCTAGCTTTAAAGCATTATGGACGAAGAACTTTGTATTTATGTCTAACTTGGTTTTGCTGCAAGTTAATCTGTTCGAACTGGAGATTGGTTTGACCGAGAATGCTGCATGACTGGTAACAAACGGTACCTCCTCAGTGATCCTTGGATGAGATTTCACCTTCCATTAGTTGCCCACGACTAAGGGGAATTGATCTGAATAAAGATGAAGCCCACTTAGGCAGTGCTTGAAATGTCTGGATACAAAGTAAAACGAATCTTTTTGGTTCTTAAGTTTTAATGTGCAAAGCTCCTTTCACATTTTTGCTTAGTTCGCAGCCTGTCAGAAATGAAACTGGACGCTATGCAACCAACTAGAAAATCTCTAACCAATGAAATTGGTAACTTCATATTTACGTGCTCTAGTGGTTTTCCATATTTTCTCAGCTGTTTTATCGGTCCCTGAGACGAATTTGCGTACCGTGCGATCAAATATAGGAGACTGATATTGGTCGCCACTGACAGTTTGAGCTCGACTGTGCTGCTCCTTGTCGAATGACCTTGTTGTTTCACGGACTCTTTCAAATTGTATTTAGAACGTTTAATTGAAGAATGCTAAATGAACTCTTGCAGTTTCCACACCACCATGCTATACTAACTAAGAGTAAAATTTCTAGTGGAAGCCACAGAACTTCGTCGGAAATCTAGTATGGACTGAGTACGCTGTTTGGCCGCACAATGGCAGACCGGTAGGTCAAAAGCTGCAAAAAACATTTTCATGAGCAGAGGACTTTAGATGTAACAATTTAGAATTTTTCGCAGGAGCTGCCAAATCAGCTAGAACTTTACATGCCCGAAAAAGCACTGGCCGGCAGTTTCGACCTGTTGGGTCTTGTCTGTAGTGCGCATTATGACGGTCCACCGAAGTCCGTCATGGCTCAGTGGCATAAGCCACTGGCTTGTGGTGCAAGCGGTTAGTGAACATGACTTCGAATGCTAAGGGATCCAATGGATGCGCACAAGTAACGAGACCCAATAGGTAGAAACTGCCGGTTAGTGCTATTTCCGGGCAAGTGGGGGGGGGCGAGATGATTTGGAAACCAATGGCGTGCTAGTTGTTAACACAGTTGCTCCTCTGCTCATCCCAAAGGAATAACCATTTTGCTGTCAGTTTTCATCTTTTATCAGCGTTACAGTACTACATTGTAGGGTCGGCTGTCAAGCAAAATCCAACCTGTTATAACAGCAGCGGAAATAACAACGATGCACTTCTGATTAGCTGCAGGTACGCCTGAATTACATGAGGATTACACGTAAGAGGCGGTGGAGTGAAATAAACCCAAGTGAAAACAGACGTACTAATAGCGGGGGTTTGTTGTCTATCAATCAAGGATAGTAGGGATTTGTGAGTTGTTAGTCAAAGTGGTTTGTTGCTCAGGACCTAATGCTGCGTGCAACTTGGAGGATGACATAAATAACTTGTGTGAAGTACACAAACAATCCCGTGTCTGCAGGCTTGTCAATACTGTTTTGTCCAAAAGGCCACAGTAATCGGGAGGGGTGTGTGATGGCGTCATTTGTATACCGGACTGTAGCAACAAGACGATGTTTTGGGTTTCGCAATATCAAACGTCACTGCTTAGTCCCACTGAGCTGTACACGCCTGTGGCATCGTGCTAATGAACTAGTAGTGTGGGGTATATTTCTCTGCCAGTTCCATATGAGACACTCTAGCCGTATTGCTTGATATGATAAGAAAATTCACCCGATAGTCACCGGTTGCATCTAATGTCCCAGTGACCGAATTCGCCAAGGTTCACATCAATGGGAATCGCGGTCCACACTGAGATCACGTGTTGTAAGTTATGCTCACAACGAGTGATTCGAAATGCTCCTCCAAGGAATCTGATTGGTCCTCTGTCATATGGTCCGACTTGCGTTTTAAGGACTAATGGCATTCACCGAGCTTGCGTGTTTGACACGCTAGTTCATTATTTCGTCCATTGTCCTACACCGAAGTGAACAATACGGTCCACGTTATCACGCCAGCCGCTTCACGACTGGTCTGTAACTCTTAAGGTAGTCTACGCAATTGGCCCAGTTTAGGGGACAACTTGTGAAAGAAGATGTCTGCACGACAATTCGTATGTCTGGTTTACCTTTCTGTGTGTCTGAATAACACAAACTTGAGTAAGCACATCTGGAGAGAATTTTCCAATCAATTATAAAGACCGTTATTAGCCAGGTTGATTTGTAACAGCTAACAGAGAACTGGCAAACCAATAAGTGAAGTGGATTCGCTGCATCTGACCCTGTCATGGACACTTCTAAACGCGCACGCTACTGGAAGGGGGCTGGGACCGTATCATAGTCAGTTGCTACGGAAGGTGTTACCACCTTGTGAACCTAGTTGTCGAGTACAAATATGTAGTTCGCACGCTCTGCCTCGTCAGTGTACAAATGACATACATACACACAGTTTATGAATTCCTAGAAGGAGAAGTGGCTGTCAGTGCTTTCCCGACTACATGACGATTAACTGACCTAGTGTGTTTGTCAGAATGTCCTTTGGAGAATTAAGCAAGTCCGTCCTACACGGGTACAGAAAAATATGCGCAGAAATTACGACAATGGTTCAAATGGTATCAGTAGCATACCAGTAGTTCCTACTGATGTTTTGCCATCGTGATTGAAAGCAGTCAGATTGGAGCTCGGATACTGCAGGGGTGCTCCGTGAAAGCTCGGACACGAATTTTAGCAACTACAATCAGACTTATGAACCGTCACACCATAGATCTCGGACGAACGTGGAAGCTGATCCTTTTAATGTTCTAACGGCGTGCGCATTGTTGAGGTGGATGATGTGTATACCTCTTAAAGTTGAAGCTTATCACAAATGCAGTCCAACTCAGAAGATGTCATCGCACTGGTCATCTGGGCAGGTACGCGTAACTAAGTCTTATCAAACTAGTTGGTCTCATGCTAGAGGAAAAGACAAAGTTTTCGGAGTAGAACATCAGTGGTTGATGTTGGAATATGCGCAATCCTGCGAATTAAGCAGGCATACCTGAGCTTTCTGTTAAATCCACTAATGTTGACATCTTCTAACACATCTGCTCCCCATGAAGGAAGAGGGAATTTAGGCTTAGTGATGCACGAATTGCCGTTTAAATGGATGAAAAATCTTTCACACTGTTAGGATAGATGTCTCTCACACTACCATACTTACCACTGATCTACGGAAATTGACAAACTATCTTGATGGGGCGATTATGCTAGATGGGCAGTCTATGGACCATTGGCTGTGCGGTAATTGGTCAGTGAGGCGCGACCCGCCTTTTCGGTCTCGCTTGCACACACCCATCGCCTGTCAAACCTCGACACCCAAAAGTTAACAAGGATTACCTACTGAAAGTTAATACTTTGTTTGCACGGTTCAGTCAGTGTTTGCTGAGATGCCACATCATTGTCACATCCTACTAGGACGAAATTTGAGCAGGTGCAAAAGGAACTAGGGCATAGGGGTGATGTGGACCAGCAGTAGTCCGTGGTCATTCATCTGCTTTACTGCGATTAACGGATGAACTGTGGCGTTTTAACACATTCCACTACTAAAGCATTGCTACTATTTCGTTGCTGCCGCCACTTCCTGGTACTATAAAGGTGGTACTATAAAGGAGGGAAAGCATCACGAGTAAGCCGGTACGCAGTACCGACTCCTTACTGCTACGCAACCACCATCGGTTGAGCGTGGGCAGAGGATATTGCGAGGGTCGCCTGGTTCCTAAACAGCCTCGAATCAGTGCTCTCAGATAAGAAGGCAGTCATGTGATCCTTATGATTACGAGTCGGCATCTCATGATAGTGATAAGGTTTTAACTGTTAGTAAGACAATGAAAAAAAACAATGATGTATTACAGGTAAAAACGCGACTGATTTACAAGTCCCATAGGATGGTAGAAGTGAAAGTAAACATTAGTGTAAATCGGCAATTTAAGCATCTAGCGATTCAGGTGCCCCTAATTCATATACACATTTTAGAATGTTTACTGAACTGCTACTTTGGAGTAATATGGAAAGTAATATGGGAAGGTATATCTTAAGAACAAAAGAAACGACAACGCTTACTCATGCGCCGCTTTCTTGGACTGAGGTAATTTATAAATGCAGTTATAATATATCAGAAACTACATTCTACAACAGCAGTGTGTAAGTAGCGAAGCACAAAAGCTGAGAATGAGCACCGTTTGTTCGCGTTTGGTTGACGTAGACATCTGTGATTATATAGCGTAACGTAAGTGGATGTGCGAATCATCCAGAGGTCATTTGAATACGGTTAGCGTAGGGGAAGAAACAACGTATGTGAGAAGAGCGTTCCAGTGTTGGCACAAACGAAGGGAAAATAAACTCCAGCGGCAGTCCAACCGGCGGTATTTAGTTCCCAGCTTTAGATGGTGTCCTCTGAGTGTTGTATTGCGATTTAGCTTTAATAGGTGACGACAAGAATGGTTTGGATTCCTCAGGATCGTATAAGTCATTATCAAGTCGCCGCGCAAGCGTGGATCTTGTCCACTGTAGATCCCCGAGTGTTTTCAGCCTCAATCGGTAAGGGAGATGAAACAGGCCCCTTAGTTCTTGGTCGCCCTTCGTTGTGGCAGTTCAAGAGCAGTAAGGTCTTGCTTTTGCCATGACTGCCAGACCTGGGTGGCGTACTCAGAATGAGGCCGAATGTAGGCGTTGAGCATTGGAGAAAAGATGGGAGGATCGAAGCGCCCGAATGCCCTCAGCAAAAGCCCAAGGTGTTGGTTAGATTTTTTGGAGGCTTTCTCGGCCTGACGGGAACAGCCCAGATCTTCCTGCACTAGCACTCCGAGATCGCATTCGGTTGAAAAGCGCTGCAATATTTGATGCCACAGTTTGCCTTTGCAAGTGGCTTTATGGCGTATGCTCAACACCTTGCACTTTGTAGTGTTGGACTGAAGCAAGTTCTGAGTCGACCATTCGTAGACCCTGTCCAGATCATCCTGAAGTACTGCATTGTCGCTGGTTGTTCTAATGACTCGCAATATCTTGAGATCATCAGCAAAGAGTAAGGAGTTGGAGGTGATTACTGTCGCGAGATCGTTTATGTAAATCAGATAAGGTTTGAAATGTTAGTAAGACAACTAGACAACTTACGGGTAACTGTTGGCATAAGCCGGAATTATGCTAGCGAGCTTCTGTCTGTAAGTCCATGGGGACTGACACTGGGGAAATGTCTGAATGATTTTATTAATCCCCAAAATGTACTGGTGTGGTCAGTTGTGCATTATCAAAGTCATCTGCATAGATCCTTGAAATACATAGCATAGGTTAGCATAGTGTTATGGGTGTCTATCCTTCGGATTCGTTCACTGAGTCTTAGTGGTATCAAGGAATGTAAACTTTTACCGCGAGGCAGTGCTGCAATCCATTACTCTCGTAGAACATAGTGACACGATAAATTTTGATTTTCTTATGACAAGACATGTAGTCCTGACGCTTTAGGCGTCATATACGGCATACATGACTGCGGTCTGATGACTACCCATAGGCAGTTGTAAAGTTGCCTAGACTCCGGCTGACGCGACTGGCCGGCTATCATGAGCGAGCTACAGTCTGCAGCGCGCTTACTCGTATCCCATGCAACCATAACTGCAGTAGTGGTGACTGATGAGGTACCATGTAATCAGCAATCTCCCAAGATCGAAATATATAAATACGATATAACTCTTTCAACCATATTTTTAAATGGGACGCACCTCCATTCAGTTTCTCGATCACATGCCATGGTGTCGTTGGGTATGCACGAAAGGGGTCCACTTTCCATATATCACTCGGTCCAATTAGCGCCCGTTGGACCATTGTTTCCGTGATGCCATCAACTGGAAATTTTGATGGGCCTGTTGGGACTGGGTATCCGTGATGCAGGATTGATTCAAGGGTGTGGTAGGTGACGTGTGAAGATGGCATTTGGACCAATTTGGTGTAATACTCAGGGGCCGGATGTTGCGCCAATCCGTATCGATTACCGATCTCAAGCATCAATGTAGACAGATGGGCATGCAAGTCAGCGAAATGTCTATGCAAGAGTAATTGACCCTGGAAAGTTAAAAAACAAATGGAATCGATGCAAAACAATTAAGCCACAAAACCACAAATAAGGGGTAAATTAGTATACGAAAGGAGAGGGATTCCTTGCCATCAGAAAATGACTTCAAAGGTGCGTTTGAGACTTCATTTAGACCAAAATGCAACGTTCCTTCTTAGGTTATCTTAAGCAACTCGGTAGGGGATCCAGAACTTACTACGTGCTCGATTGTATCATACGCAAACCTAGCCTGAATTAGACCATTACAACGTTAAACCACCACGAGACCACACAGCCGGGATGTTAAACCTGTAACTGGATAAATTTCTCACAATTATCCTGTTTAGCTTGGAAGGCTACGTTGGCTTATCCATTATCAGAAAACTTCACGTTTGTCACGGCAAGGAAACTAGAGTTACTTCCTGCACTATATCTGCTCTGAATGTTTGTGAACACGCTGGGCTAACGGTTTAATGCGCGGGATTATCATCTGGTGCTTCTGAGCAAAATTTAGTTATCTCCCATAATTGGAGATTATGGAGTCTATTTGGCATCAGGTGTTACCCAGGACGCACAACAGACGTGTCGTTGGGTGCAATAATCGCTACCAGTCACGACTAGAGGGTGCGAAGTTGATGCACAGAGAGGAATTCTCATCTTGCTTTGGATACGGACATTCGCACTCACTCCGTATGTGGAAGAACGTGCTCACATCTAGCTGCAACCTCTTTCGTAGGTTTCACACCGTTGTGGTTGTTCCTCACGACAATGATAGGATTAAAAGTTAGTAACCAATTGAGTACCCAGCGGGAAATATTTGTTTGCCACTTATGGCAAAATATCTTTATATAGACAAATGTTCGTATAGGTTGTTGTTTTACTACTTCAGGTAGGCCGACAGTAGAAGCAATACAAAATGGCGCTACATACTGCAACCTCGTAACTCATCAGTTGCAACAACCTGCGACGAGCGAAAAATCACTTTGATGCGTTTTGCATCCACGAGCTTAGCTTGCTAATCAATTCAGGAGGACGTGTGCTGGAGGTTATAACTGCACAAGAGAGGTCGTGCGCTAGGTGCAGCTTCGAACAAGTTAGCTTTTTCTGGTAATCCCTATGCAGTATGAGGTGCTTTGTAATCATTTTAGCTACATCAAAGATTCGCTATCAACAGCTCTAACGAGAGGTGCTTTGGAGAATTGTAGCGCCATAGGTACTTTATCCTCATGGTGTGCTTAATTTCGAACACGATGCTGCAAAGAAAACTCTGTCGGTCTAATAGGAAATTCATTAATTACCCCATGGTTCTTGATGGAACCGCAAGTTGGCCATTTTGACCCACACCACCCCTAGCCTCGAAGGACGAGAAGTAGGCGGCGCGCATAATCAGTAGTAACAAAAGGTACTCTTCTGTCTTCCGCACGTTTACCATGCGCATGCTTAGGAGCCTCAGTTTGAGTTACCAGATTTTGTGAGACCTCAAACACGAGTGCAGCCTATTGCTAGAGCGGAGTTACAACAGCAATCTCAGAGACCACCATCTCACGCTGACAGAGCAATGCAGTCCTTTGCAATGCCGTCCGAATTTCTTTTCCATACGCGTTTTCCAAGCGCGTGATTCCCTCCCGGTATCTGTCATTTGTGCTGCAAAGCTGGTAGATTTCAAAACTCTTGTTATCCGTGCACTCATTTATCTTCATCAGCTCATATGTGTTGCAGAACTCAGTCCTTCGGGGACAAGCGTTTATTCGGCAAAGGCAGCACAGCGAAAATGACAGCATATTTAGTGAGTCAAACTCCTCGATCAAAACTTCACGTTCAAGTCCATAAGTAACGACCCTTCTGAGTCGATGAGGTTCCTCCTTTGCTTCAGTTAAACAAATGGTGAATCACTCACGCGATTAATCGGCCAATCCTAGTCCACTAATCGAATCCTTCACGTCCGTCTCCAATTGGCTCTCTGGCTCGCTCGGTTGGTCCATATGCCTACTCCGAACTGACACTATCCTCACAACATGACCCATAGCCCAATGCCAAACAGGAGTGTATGCAAGGGCTTTCCCCGATAGTCAACTATCAGCGTACATGCCACCTGTTTCACCTCTTGTATGTGTACACCAGATGGGATGATTTTTTATAAACGCCCTTGTGTCGCCACTCCTCATGAATTTACGGTGGATTCACTGTTTTTATTACTTATACTTTGGTGAGTTTACCTCTGTGAACTTTACTGAAGCCTTTCTCATATGTTCCTTTTGCACAATGATCATCCTACGGGAAGTGCTAAGCATTAACATTTTTTCCGTATTAAGCCATTATTCCATTATTGTCGGAACTGTACACAGGAGACATAGCGAAGGGCCAACAACAGAGTACGCAGTCTCTTAGTTGACTATTGTGACATCCAATAATCTTAGTTCAGCCGTGTGATTAGCGTGAAAGGACGAGAACCATAAAATTCATCCAGTTGATGAACTGAGAGAGCTGGACACCTGGAAAAGGTGTATGCAGTAGGTCAATATTTCTGCTGACATGAATCTAACACGTGACCGCAATCGCCTGGATGCCGCTTGGGGTACTACAGTTGCGGCTTAACCAATGCAAGAGTGGGTTTAAGGAACAAACATCGCAGGCTAGCCGCTCGAATCGCCCTAGTTCAAACCGACCAGATGACAGCTCATAGCCAGAATTTTCAGCCAATACATAGAATTTACCGTGAACTAAATTTAGTTCAAATCTCGGGATCAGTCCAGATAGCACTCCAAGCGGAAAGCGCAAATCATCGGTAACGCATCACTTTGAAGTGTGCACCACCAGGTTTTACTTTGCTCTATTTTAATAATGACATGAATGCATCCAAGCTTCATGTACCATGAAGGTGCTTGACACTATTAAATGCACACACACGTTAGTTCTTATAAACAGTGCAATCTCTGTAATTTGTTTTCCGTGGCAGCATCCGGACACACTTGAAATTCACTGTTAATCTGATGGCTATGTGCAAATGTTCAAACGTGCTTATATACATATAATTAATCTGTAATTTTCCCAGGTATATAAACACATGAATCATTATGACTACATTTCGATATATATGTATATATAAATGTGAACAAGTTGCGAGTTGGGAGTTACAGAGTTCAAAGCAAATACGCTTCGTTTGCATCGGGTGAGATTTTAAAAACAAGTAGTTGAAGGTTCCCATTTACCAACCGCATTCGTTTCTAACCCAAAGTTTCGCTGCCCTTCGACCCATTGTTGACACGTGCCGCACGCCAAGAACCAGACACACTGTGAGTAACAGAGGTCGATAAATTAAACGAGGGTGAAATGTGTCGTCTGTTATAGTTTTATCCGAAGTTAAAAATAAGTCTTTGCATGGTTGTTTTCAACGGAGGTGTGTCTCTTGTTAAAAATAAATTTAAATCTGTCTGGCTGGAAATAACGCAGCAGTCTGGTAGTTTCTCCGGTTTGCCTGACTTGGGTTCATAGAATCCTAGAAGTACTATTTAATTATACACTTAAGCTATTTATGTGGAATCTTGAACTACACCTTGAATTCGGGTGCTTAACTTCAGCAACGCCTTTCTAATTGGTGTGTCGGCTGGTCTATATCTCGCGAAAAGTTCAGGTGTTGTGTCTTTTAGTTCCCCTATATCGCAATACTTTTCGGTGTTGTAGTCTGTAGCTAAAACCACAAGTAAACGTTTACCGTTAAAAGCAAAGCTTCCTTTCACCCATCTGCCTTTTGGAACGTCAATCTGGGCTCCCGCTAAAATAGTGTGTAGTCGCTGTTATTGAAATAAATACTTGGAGAAATGAAGCCGAACGAGAGGATGGGTTTCCGTTGATAATAGCTTGGCACATGTTGACGGGATAGTTGCAGTTATCTGCTTGCATTGATGGGTTGGATATAAAATCGCTGACACGCATGAAGCGGAGTTCGTAACAGCCACTGTGCACACACCATCGGCGAGGAGCAGGGTGAGACGAACTGATCGACCTCACGTTGAGATGCGAAGGTCGAATCAATAGCTGATGGCTCTCAGATGACCGATAACTCAAGTATGGTATGATGTAACACAGGGCTCATGCTGTTTTAACTTTCCACGGACCCTCGTTTTCAGGCACGGAGTGATCTTGACTGTGGACCTTTTATCCGGCGTATGGTTTCTGGGCTACTTGACCACTTCCTGGTGTCGACTTGTCCGCAGGCACTCAATACGTTGTTCATCGGCATTCGCTCTGATTAGTTAGTTGGGGCTCAAATTCTGGTTAGCTAGGTTCCCTTCATGTTCCACTGAAGGTGGTCAGGTCTATTTCAACCTAGTCGAAAAAGAAATGAACCTGGAACCTCCACCCAGACGAACAGTATATATAATATACTCTTGTAAAGATTAAACTGTAAGTTTTGCTGCACAAAGGGACACCTGTTGACTTTCACAGGCTGGTTCGCACAGCATCCCTTAATTATGATTCACTAAACCGGCGTTTTGCCTCAGTGAATAGCTAACTATCAACCTGGATACCACCGTTTCCCTTCTAAGCAGTCAAGATACAACCGGAGTTCACAAGCGGTCTCCAACAATTGGGACCAAACCAGTCTGCTAACACCACATCAGGAGGAACCTAAAACATCGAGAATCAAGTAAGCACCTAAAAACTAATATCGCGCTGCCCTACTCTACCCTCACTACGAAACGCCATTTTATAAAGGAAATTGTGAAGCTGCAACTCTATAAATTTTACCGCCAATCGCTGTTGACGTACACTTGCCATCATAGTTCCTCACTGTCTGTACGCTGTTTCCGGACCCAAACATGACTACCATGTTTCATAACCGGTTTTTCAAGCAGCTACCTCAATGCTTGGTAATAGCTTGCAGATTTGTATCACTAGGACCTTGTAAGTGAAATGCTATAATTCCATTGTTTCAGACTACGCAAACCTGGTAAGTACGCAGCTAGGTGACATGCATCGCAATGAGGCTAGACCTTACCGGGGTGCGATG